AAAAAAAAAAAAAAAAAAAAATTCTTAGTCGGAGCAGGGGCTTAGTCTGAAAGGCCAAAACCACACCTTTAGGGTGAACTGTAGTTCACCTTTCCTATATAACCTAGACAGTAAGGACAAGACCAATCAACCACATATTTTGAATTGCTGGTAAATTTAGGTCAATAAGGAGTTTTTAATCAGAAGGGAGTAAGTCCTTGCATACTGAATGGTTTAGAAAACAACTATAGGATGCTCTGGAGCTCAAAGGATTCAAATTGGCTAACCTGCTGCATTTCTACTTTGCAAGTGGAAGATCCTGTTGGATCCCTGTTCGTAATATGGCTCTTCTTATAAAACTATACTGTATCATGCTTGACCAAGTAACGGAAAATTGTGTTTGGAAGCTGAAGCAGAGAAATATGCAACATTATGGATGGAAAATAAACTAGGCTCAAAAATATCCAACTGTTCTAGAGGAAAAGAAAGTCCCAAATTTGCTGGCTCACGCTTATAATCCCAGCACTCGGGAGGCTGAGGCAGGAGGACTGCTGAGAGTTGGAGGCCAGCCTGGGCTACAAAGTATGCTCAAGGCCAGCCTGAACTGCATAGCGAGACCCTGTCTCAAAAAGACCGAAAAAAAAAAAATCCCAAATCAACTTGCTCTTAGATCATCAAGAGAGGACTCAGGATTTCCTGCTTCTTAATGAAGGAGGGAACAGCAGTGGGAGTAGCGAACCAGTGTGACATAGTGGTTTTTTCCAGATAAAATCTTACAAAGAACTCTAACATATAAAATTAGTAACACGGGGATCTCTTTTTTAAGAGGGAGTGAGGTGAAATGAAGACTTTCCCACTATCTTTTCAACCTAAGCTCTAGGCAGACTCAGAGCTGAGAGTGTGGTTCAGTGGTAGAGCACTTGCTTAACATGCAAGTTCTTGGTTCCATTCCAGCACCGCAAAGACAAACACAGACTGAACAACAGAACCTGGAAAGAGGACTGGATTTCAAATCAAAGACGTGGATTTCTATTACACCTGTATACTCTTTAACAAACTATAACCTCTCAGCCTCAATCTCATCTGTAAACTGGGGAAAATAACTATACCTCATAAAATTATCATAAAGATAATTAGATTAAAGGAGCTAAACATCTTAAGTTATCACAAAGAGATTTCTTCCTTAAATAACTGCTCACCCATGATCAATGACCGCCCCTCTTCCCCACCCGCCGTATCAGATATTGAACACAGGGCATTCATACTGAGCTATACCCTCAGCCCTTTCTATGTTTTTTATTATGGGGTAGGGTGCTGCTAAATTGCCCAGGCTGGGCTTGAACTTGTGATCTTCCTGCCATAGTTTCTCAAAGTGCTGGGATTAGAGGAATGTACCACCATACCTAGCTAGATGACTTTAAGAGGATAACTGTCTATGCCGGATGAGGTGGTAAATACCTGCAGTACCAGCTATTTTGGAGGCTGAGACAGGATGAGCCCAATAATTTGAGACAAGCCTGGGCAACAATAGTGAGACCCTGTTTCAGAGACAGAGACAGGGAGAGCGAGACAGAGACAGACAGACAGAGACAGAGATAAAATATGAATCTAAATATCCTAAGCTTTAAGCTTGAGGAAATTTTAAATATAATTGCAATCAGTGATTGGATAGTCCCTGTTCTTCAACTGCTAAAAATTACTACAACCTCTGAAAACAGAAGTATGATACTCAATAGGAGAAAACCAAAGTGTCTTTTTCAGAGTTAAATTTCACTCATTCAGATGATCAAGATAGACCCCAAAACATTAGAACATTTGTAACAGACATCATATTTTGCAAAAGATTTCAGAGCAGCCTTCAATTTTTTTTTCCCTTAGCAGAGCCTTTCAAAAGAAATGTTATGTGAAAGCAGCACAGGTAAAATTGATTTTTAAAAATACACAGCTGCTCTCAGTGAAGTATGAGTAAGTCCTGGAGTTCCCTGATGTCACGTGTCGCTCTTCCACTTCAATACAGTCAGAAAACCCAGTCTTGGCGCGTGATTTCCTAATGACCAAGTGGGGGTTCCACCTTCCCGGATGGTCACAATGCTGCTCAAAAATGTTGTCCGGCTGGCTTTCAAAGAACTATTTATTTGTCTACTTGTTTTCTGAGACAGGATCTCACTACACAGTCCATGTTAGCCTTGAAGTCTTCTAAGCTTTCATTTCTTCATTTGAAAAATGAAAATATGACATCCTATCTCCATGATTATTAAAAAGATTAAACGAGAGTATGTTAAGACCCTATCAAAACTTAGCTTTTAGCAAACGAGAAACTCAAATTCCCCATATGAATAATGTATTGTTGTTCCCCCAGTAGATTATAAGCTCCTGGAAGGTAGAAAGCATTTTGTTTGATCACTGTATCTTCTCAGCACAGCACATGAAATATACTCAACACATGCTTCACCAATGAATAAAGGGTCAGTTAGAACCAAAATGTGAGAAAATCTTGGTTCCTTGGGCACAAGCTGACCCTGGGCCTCAGACTGACTTCCTTCCTTAAAACAAGAGTGGTCTGAGTACAAGTGGGACAGTCCACAATGGCTCCCATCAACACCCTGGAAAAATACCTGAGAGGAAGCATAATTCCTGCTGAGTGAGAGTAAGAAGCATTAGCCAGATATTCTTTATCCTATGGAGAAAGAACGAGTATGTGATTGACTTCCACCCATTTGGCCTTCTCAGGGTGACAGAAGCAGAAATGATGCTTTTAAGAAGCAGCGAGGCTCTCTGCAGCTTTCTTGTGCCTCACTGTCAGCTGCATTGCTGCTGTGCTACTGTTAATGTTCCTTTGTATCAGACAGGCACTGCAGGGCTTCATTTCTTCGTGACGCTCCATCCAGGTTTCCCTAAGCCCTGGATCAACTGAGATGGTCCCTGAGCTAGGTGAAGGCTTAGCAATCTGAAACTCCATACATCAACTGATCACAGAGCACTGTCTCCTCAGGCTCCTATTTTAAAGGCAGGGCCTATTATTATCTGGGGGAATGCAGGTTATCTTGATATTTGCCTGCTTTCACTAAGGGCAGTGATGCAATAGGAGGGGTGAGGGTCTGAAATAATTCACACCAAGATGCTTCTGCTAAGGATGATCACTAAAATGGCATTTTGCTGGAGGTGCTTATGGGAGCAGGGGTGACACTAGACAAATGCAGAGCCAATCCCAGCATCTTCCCTTCCATACCTCGGCTTCAAACAAATAAAGTCAGCTTGATTCACAATGAAATTTAAACCACATGCATGTACCCCACCCAAGGCAGTCTCATTCATTCTTGCCAATTAAAAAAAATGTAGTCATGCTGGGTTTCTTTCAGCTCCAAAACAGACTGGGCTAGCCCCCATTTTTCTCCTAGAGAAGAACAGCTCCAGCTACTATTTGTGTCACCATGTTCACCCAGCTTGCAAAACTCCCAATACCCTAGAGACTACAGAAGTAATTTGTACCCTGAACTTGGGACCTGGGGGCTTGCAGCACAATTAAATGTGTGCCAGGGTAGACAAGTCGGCCAGAGTGTCTCTGAGTGCATGTTTGCTTTACTCCTCTTTGGGAAGAAAGAGGGAGGGTGTTGAGTAGATAAAGACTATTGGCACATTTGAGACTTCAACCAAGTCAGGCTACATCGAACAGCTCGTGTAATTACAGTCACATTCCTCGACCCAAGCCAGTGTTCTGTGAACCTCCCACTTACACACAGAATTCTGCTCTGTCATTCCACCTGCAGTTTTGCTGCAGTCCTTCCTGCCACCCTTCTCACAGATTTCTTTTGAAGCAGGTGTAGGGGAAGGTAGAGGGAACCTACAGAGTGATGGTAGGTAAAGAAAGGGTAGAGGGGAAGAATCTGTACCAAAAAAGGAGCTTTTCTTTGGGGAGGGGGGATGGAACACATTTTCGCATTACCTTGGGAAGGCAGATGGGGGAGAAATAGGAACAGGGGAGAAGAAAACTAAATAAAGAGCACCAACGACCCCTGAGGGCAAAGTACAGGCTCTGCAAGGCACTCACTCAGGCTGCCCAGCTGTCGGATGACATTTGCCAGGTCGATGTTGGTCACGCATTCCAGCTCATTTCTAACGCGAGGCAACTTCTGACGGCACAGGTGCCTTGGCTCGATGTTCCTAGTTACTAACGGCATGGCGGACCTGCTTCAGGCAATGTTCTGAATGATGAAAAACAACCTAAAAAAGAAATAACAGGAAAGTATTACTCAACCACAAATTCCAGGCACACTAGGGCTGTATGAGTCTTTTTTTTTGGTGGGGTGGGGGTCTTACTCTGATCTAAAACAGCTTTTTAAAAACCCTGAGTCTCCCTTTTTTTTCTTTTTTAACCCCCTCACACTCCCATCTTTTTTAAGGTTTGCTATTAGAAGACATGCTTTATAAATTTAGAAATTCTGAACTGGTGACTGCTAGTTGAGATACACAGGGAACAGAAAAACCTCGAAGTGACAACTACTGCTCCAACCAAGAGTTCCCAGAGGCAAGGAGGCACAGTTAGAAAACAGCCTGTTCAGCAAACACTGAGTGGTGTTCTTGGGGTGTCCATAACCAAAACAGATCAGGTTCTAGGCCACCCATTGTGAGGATCAAAAAAGAGCTTCTGTCATCTGATAATCTCCAGAATGAAATCAAGCTGTCAAAAGTCATTCCATTGATATACATCAGGACATGATTTCTCCAGTTCTTCCTGGATGGGTGACTGTTAATGTACAACTAAATACTAGCTGCCAGTAGCTATTAACACTACTAAAGTTTAGTCTGTAAATTGACAGAGTGAAAGAATATCAAGGAAATTTTTACATGTTCAATATGTCAAACATGATGCTGAGCCAACTGTGCTACAAGATTCCCTGGTCCTTTCTCTTCTACTCAACTCCCTTTCCCTTCCTACCCAGTTCAATATATGTAGCCAAAGAGCTCTAGAGACGGTAGAAAGTATCTGGAGTAGATCTGGAAACCTCTCAGTTACTCCTTCTTATTCCCAGGCTGAGCCCCTTTCCCAGGAAATCCCCTACCACTATAGGCTCATGCTGAGTTGTAGTTTTAGATTTAAATTTTTCTAACTACAAATTTAGGAGGTTTCAATCTCAACAACATGAATGTGACCACAGTCACGGCACACTGGGCTGATCCCGTTTCTACATCTTGTGAAACGAGAAACCTAAAGCGGCCTAACAGTGTTTGTGCCAGGGAAAATGGTAAATTCACTTTAAATGATAAAAGATAAGGTATAAAGAAACAAATACAAGCAGCCCCCAATATTATAAATGTCTCTTAAAATAAAACTTAAGCAGTTTTACTTACATCAAATCTTAAAACACCAGCTCATCACCACAGAAGTTCATTGTGAATATAAAATGCTTAAGCCAAAGTAACTATCATAGATCTTAAAAGTGAACCAACATATTGTCTGATCAAAAGGAAAATGAAAAGCCATCCAAGCTCGAAGAGGGAGTGGAACCCACTGGAACAGACTGCTTCTTGTTATGGACATTCTGATCTACAACAAGTAAAAATAAAACAGGAAGCCAGCAGCTTGGGGAACAAGATTTCCTGTCACCACCAACAACAGCCCAAGAACCAAGAGAATCAGCTGTTTGCTTATAACTTTGAACCTCCCTCAAACAGTCACTGTGTGGCAGCTGTGCCTATCTTTGGGGTGCAGAGGTGTTTCCTGAATACTTGCCTACTGTCTTAGGAAATGATTTCCATTCTGCTTCTCTGCTAAGTTCCTCCTTTGATTCAACAGGTCTTATAATCTGAACTCCTGACTTCCCAGTTTAACTCTTTCCCAGTTTTGTTTAATGTAAAGAGTATCAGATACTATTATGCAATCTTTATTAACACATGCTGAAAAAGAGTCCAGAATAAGGAACAGGCAGGAGGTTACAAAAAAAGAATCTCACAGGACTCTGTGTATCATCCTCAGGATGCCCTTAGATTTCCAAACTTCAAAATTTCTGAAAGAACTAGGAATTCAGGGTTCAGCCAGGTAATGAAATCACTGTGGCTCCCCCTATCTGAGTACTGTTACAGCTTCTCAGAGGAGCTATAGGAAACAGATCACATTGTAACTCTGTGTTGAATGTCACCACTGCCAGCACATTCCAGACTTTCCCCCTGGACATCTAGTGGAAACTGGATTACCAATGGCTATACAAATGTCAGACTGGGGGCAAGGGCAAATTCTAATATCCGAGTACTTTAACATGTATGCTTTCCCAAGTGTCCTGAGTAAGCAGACACAAATGGAGATAACTCTCATCATCTCTGTGGGGTTCACCTAGAACCAAAGTTGTTTTTGAGAAAGGGTCTCACTGTTTAGTTCAAGCTTGCCTTGAGTTCACTATTTAGCCCAAACTTGTGGCGATCCTCCTGTCTCAGCCTTCTGAGTGCTGGGATTACATGCATGTGCCACCACGCCAGGCGGGAACCAAAGTTTTAATAGCAAGATGGTTTCTTCTTGTCAAAAAACCCAGCTGTATTGGGCTAGTGGTCTACGCTTGTACTCCAGTTACCTGGGCAGAAGGTTTTTGAGTCTGAGGCCAACCTGGGCGACTTCACAAGGCCTTGTCTCACTATGTAGTTCAGGCTAGCCTTGAACTCATTATGAAGCCCAGGCTGGCCTTGAACTTCCAGCAATCCTCCTGCCTCAGCCTGGGATGTACCACCACACCCAGCTGTCATTACCCCCCGCCCCGTTTTTTAAAAAGCCATTTTAGTTTGTTTCTGAGACACAAGAGATAAAGAGTCCCTGTTGTACAGAAATACCTGTACTATTGCTCATTTTTCTTTTAAATAGTCAACGGTTGGCTGTCTTCTGCATAAGAAGTATGAAATTATGCATGATCTGAACCACAATAGTAACTTAACCCAAAAAAAGTTCTATATTCCAGTGAAGATAAACTTAGAAATGGGCAAAGAGTCTTCCAGGTTCTTGATTCAATTTAGCTTCAAGCTGTAGAAAATGCATGGGTTTTGTACCTTGATGCTGACATCTTACTAACTGTGTGATCTTGGGCATTTTTCTAGAGACAATGAATAATAAAACATATATAAAATGCCCTCTATAAAGCTTTTTTTAAAAAAGGGTAATTATTTAGACTTCCACAGACCATAGGCAAATCTTTTATAGAATCAATTTTATTCATTGATGAATATTTAAAGACACTTTTAACCATGAACATATTATGTGGTAGAATGCAAAAGTCACATAAAAAATTTAAAGATAAAACCCTAGATTCCAATGAAACTTTATGGTTTTCCTTCTGAAGTTGCTCCCAGCTATGCTCTTAGACCTCCTGAAAAAGACATTTTCTCCTCCTGTTTTTCATAACTGGGTTCCCCATCTGAATCACAGAACAAAAAAAAATAAAAATAGAGGGACTGTTTTCTCAATTTTCCTTAAAACTGTACAAAACTAGCACCATTCTAGATGCAGTAGAAAAAAATTAAGACAACAGATGCCTAATGGTGTTAGGGTTTAATTCTCTGTGGAACTCCAGTTGAGAAAGGTTCCTCCAACATCAGCAGCATTTTACTGGAAACTGTGTGGAACACTGAGTGTTGAGGAACCTCTAGATTAAGGAAATACAGGACCAGATTTGAATTTTAGACAAATCATTCTAACCTAAGCAGAAGGCTGGTGCTAAGAGCCCACTGAGAAACTCTGCAGGCTCAAAAGGAGAGAGTAGAAACAGAAAGGCCCATCATACCACCATATAGCAAACTACAGACAAGTTGCAGGAGTGAGCCCAGCCGTTCAGCCCCATTTACTGCTCTCTCCTTATAGTTTTGTACAATTATATTCATAAAGTGATAAAAAAAGTGTGTTTCCTTATTAAAACTGTTGTGGAAAAAATTAAATATATGTGTTAGTGACAGAACTAAAAAGAGTAAACTCACTGGGGAAGAGTTCAGTGGTAGCCTAGCACAGGTAAGAGACCTGGGTTCTATCTCAGGCATTGAAAAAAAAGTGACAGCTGGGTGTGGGGGCACACACCTATAACCCCAGCATTCGGGAGGCTGAGGCAGGAGGATAGCAGTGAGTTTGAGGCCAGCCTGGGCTACATAGTGAGTTCAAGATCAGCCTGGACTACATAGCAAGATTCTGTCTCAAAAAAAAAAAAAAAAAAAAAAAAGTGAGAGGAACCACCAAAATTGTGGTTCTTAGGTAGAAAAAAAAAGGGATACACGAAAGAGTAAGGTACCCTGTCTTTATGGATTCAGTAAAGGTCTTTTTCAATCATGCTTTACTTTCATTAAGGAAATTATATGTTGCAGTAGTATTTCTTAATTTGGGGATTTGAGAAGGTCTTTTGGGAGATGTTACATAGGAGAGAAGTAAGAACTGCTGAGAAGATAAAAGTTACAGGGAAATATATCTAGTTCTTTAAAAAGCTGTCCTGTAATAGAATGAATTTTCTTTAAATATGGTTATGAGTTTCCCAGCCTCTGGATGGCTAGCTATGTAACATGTTGAGGAAGAAATTCCTACAACATAAAGTATTGGTAGGTCAAACTGGGTAACATCTTCAGTGCCTCATAAATCAAAATTGTTAAAATTCTCAGTCTAGGCTTCAGTTTCCTCATCTATAAAATAATGGGATTAAGCTAAATGATCTTTTTTTTTTTTTTTTTTTTTGGTTTTTCTTTGGTACCAGGAACCGAACTCACGACCTTGAGCTTGCCAGGCAGGCGCTTTGCCTCTGAGCTAAATCCCCAGCCCCGCTAAATGATCTTTTAAAAGCTTCCTATTTCTAAAATTTCTGCATTCACATCTACCTAAACTACTTTAATCTCCTCAATCAGCCAACATGCACTGTATTCTGAACACCAGATCAGAGGCAAGTCTGGGGTGATGCACATCATGGCTATTTATCAAGTTTCCTCTCTAGGTTTAGATTCTTTCAGTTACTGCAATCAATAATATCCATACTGGCCCATCAGATGAGGCATTCTCCTCTCTCTTGAGCCGGCGAAGTTTCTCAATTGGTTCTTACCTCCAGCCTTCTCCTGCCTAGACATAACTTCTATGCTTATGCTAGAATGGGTTCTCTAAAATGCAAGTTTTTATACTTTGGGAGGGTTCCAGATTGATCTATTCTAAGAAGTCCAAAGGAAAAACTAAGCTTTTGTGCCAATTCCAGACAAACAGGCCAGACCTAGCAATCTTC